AACAACAACAAAAACAAACAAACAAACAAACAACAACAACAACAACATCAAACAACAACAACAACAATAATAATAACAACAACAACAACAACAACCACAAACAAACAAACAACAACAACAACAACAACAACAACAACAACAACATCAAACAACAACAACAACAACAACAAGATCAAACAAAGCCAAGAATAAATAAGCGGTTAGCCCACCTATATTGCTTCTCTCTTAAATCGTTTACCAGCAGCAGGTGTTAAAGACAGTTGAACTTTGATCAAGGAAGGCATCGACTAGTTTGTACTATCGTTGTATGCGATCTTGATCTAGAAGGGCATTCATCTCATACAAGGGCAACCCTGTATACTTTGAAAACAGCAGCTTAATAATAATTATTATTCTGGTGGGGTTGTTTACGATACGTTAAACATTGTTTTGTTTTGTTTTGTTGTGTTGTGTTGTGTTTTGTTCTGTTTTGGCCAGTGTCCTTGCTGTTTGAAGTTCACTCGCTCTTTAAGAGGGTGAGGAAGTAGGAGGGGGGGGGTGGTAGGGGTGTTTGAAGTTGTTGGGGTTTTTTTGTGTGTGTTAACTTTTCAGAGTTAAGAGGGGGGGTTGGTTTGTTGTTTTTTTTTGTTATCTTTAATTTGATTTTATTTATCGTTTACTCATCAGTTTTGGACCTTGATCATAACTTGGCGTACGTCTCTCGCCGTTTGCCGTTTTCAATGAGTCAGTATTATTGATGGTTCATCGAGTGTGGTGTGGTGATGATAGAGCGTGAAATAAAGCAAATTAGCCCCTTAATATGATTTAATAAGTTGTTTATAGATAGCGAGACTCAGGAAGATAAGGCAATATTAAAACCCATAAATAAATAAACGTGATGTACAGCCGGACACGTTTTTCAAGGAACAGGATCCCGGAATTTTAAGAGGACGGTCTTTTTTTTGTAGTGCTCCTGTGAAATATAATATTCATCTAAAAATGTTTTCCTTTTCTTATAATCTAAAAATAGCCCTGTCTTTGTGGAACACGACTATCACACAGGTGTTGAGGGTTCAAATCGTTATGGGGTCTAATTATTTCCAAGTCTGGTTATTTCGAATTAGTTTCGCTCTCGGACAAAGGCCCATGATTAGACATCATTCATCAACTTTAGCAATAATTGAGTCCCAGATCTGCGACACACATCGGTGATCATGGTTTTCCTTTCATTCCATTTTTAATATACATTTGCTGGGATGTACTCAAAAAGCTATTTCATTACTCTTACATCCTCGTCACCCAATATGTTTAGACTCTCAAATGAGGTTGCTCTGGGTCTACCCGTGCCTCGCTTGCCTTCAATTTTTGCCATAAGAAGAAGGCGTTTCAAATGTTCAAGTGTCCCTAAAACGGCATTTGTCTTTTCCTGATAGCTTTTATAAGCGAGTGGCTCATGTGGCCTATAGAAATACGGAAAAATATTGTTTTAAATTGTGAATGGATCGATCCAGGTGCTTGCCTTGAAGAAGTCAGCCTGGCAGGAAAAACGTTTGTTGCTCTAGACAGAAGAAGAATAAACACTGAGAGAACTGGGTTTGGTTAAAACGAAATCATGTCTCTTTAGGGTAGGCCTGATCGAGTGATCCGGTGTTGGTCTTTCTATCAAATAGTTGTGAGTTCGATTCTCGGCTTGCTCTGGGAACATGTAGACAGTTTTAATAGTTGTTGATGCTGTATAGCTTTTTTTTAAAATAGTTTTCTTTTTAGCATAATAAGGTTTTTTAATAAGCGAGACTGATTGATTTCACGCCCTTTTCCGATAGGACTTAAGAAAGTGGGTGTGGAACCTTGGAGAATCAGAAAAAGGCCCATAAACAATACCGTGAAAGGTTTGAACCAGAGTCATCCTCACGACAGTCCTTGACAACCATAGCTCAAATACAGGGAGCTGCATAATAGCGTACAGCAACGGGAAGTTGATTGTCCTCCCTCCCCCAACCCCCAGCCCCCCCCCACATACACACACAAGCGAGCGCGCACGCACACATATATGTAAGTAAGACATGTTAAGGGGTGTGGGAAAGGGATAGAGAGACAGGGGGCGAAGAGGTGGAAAGAAAGGGTTAAAAAGAGAGGAGGAGAGCGGAGAGTGAGGTGGGAGAGAGAGTGGGAGAGAACTGGGAGAGAAGAGGGAGAGATAAATTGAGGGAGTAAATATTCATACATTGTGAGAGACAGAGAGAGAGAGAGAGAGAGATAGAGAGAGAGAAACAGAGAGGGGGGCAGAGAGACAGATAGACAGGCAGACAGACAGACACGAATCGTCCCTCAAAAAACGTGATGGTGTGTGTATCTAGAAGTTTGCTCATCTCATTCAAGGCCAATCCTCTTTACCTGGAAACCACCAACTTAATCACGATTTATTTACGATACATTAAGTACTTCCCAATTTACTGAGCACGGTCAGTGATTTACGAACACCCACGTCTACATTAGCCGTCACGGTGTAAATATCTCCCACCTCACTATGAGGTCAATCTAATCAGCCCGTATATTATCGCTCTCGCATTACCCCCCGTTTGCTATGAGTCACAGACATCTAATGTAAATATGAATTACCGATGATAAAGATCCATACTTACGAAACGTCAGGAAATTGTATGATTGTTCTGGACAGCAACGGCTCGACGAAGTAACTTGATGCGCGCAGAAACCTTGGTAATTATTCCAGTGTATCCAAAGGGGAGCGACGGATGATCAATCCGAATAGATGGGAATACAGAACGATGAACTCTTTACCCTTCCCGATGTTTTTACTCCAGCCTTTATTCTTCTTTTCTATTTTTTCTATAGGAATTGTGAATTGTCACGCACACCCTGTGCTATCTGCGATGGGCTTTGTATGCCTGCTACGCCGGAGAGAACAATAATAATATGATGTGAAGAAGGCGGGAGGCACTACAGCCAGGGGAAACTATCCACACGAACCGAACACGATGTAGATGTTGTAGGGTTAGGGGTTGACAATGCCACCAAGAAGTCAGGACAGCCACAGAAGTTGGTGGTCCAGATTAGATGGGTGCTCTGGATGGACGAAGTTTTTCCTTGCAGAAGTATACCAGCTATCCTTTTCCTGAATCAGAATGTCCAAACACACACACACAATGACGTCTGGCACCAAGGGGTTATTTTACACCAGCACAAAAAGTGCGCTCTCGATGGATAAAATACTCACGAAATTATCTGCCTTGTCTCTGACGACAGTAAATCTAAATACACTTCTGAACTTTTCACTGAAGATAAAAATATTGCAATAATATTGGAGTTGATAACGCAAGCATGCACAAGCTAGACAGCTAGATAATGACTAGGAACAGTTAACTATCCAAATTCAGTCACACAAAATCACCTCACTGATATGATATCCCACAGGAACGTTCTCTACTCAACAAGAATTCCGAATTCCAGAAGCACAGTTTTCTGTCAGTAAAATGATTGCTTTTTTAAAAAGCACTTTTAAACAAAAACCACTCAACGTTTTAATCTGCAGAGAAAGATAGCTGTGAAATAAATTGTGCAATACGATAAAATCAGATGCTACAAGTGTACTCTTCTAGACTGTATCCATCGACACTGTCTGGAAAGCAGGGATGTGACACAGAGAGCAAAGATATGACGTCGGAATATTGGTCACCTCCATGCAGACCTAACGCATCCCCCTCGATAACCTGAGAAAAAGACAAGAAAAACAAGCCAAATGTTACATTGATAGAATTATTGCGTGTTTGAAGTATCAGAAAGGATCAAATTAATACAAAACTGCCGTTTCAGTTTTAAATGTATAAATGATACTGCACCTTTTTATCTTAAAACATTCCTGGAATTAGATCATGCACCTAGAGCCCTTAGATCAGCCTCTGACAATCTAATTCTTAAAACTCCGAAACAAAATTACAAAACGTACTGCGAGCGTTCCTTTTTGTTCTTTGGTCCCCAGGTGTGGAACGAACTCCCATATAAAATAAGATCTGCCCCAAAATTTACATTTTCAAAAATCAGCTGAAGCATTTTTTATTCACAAATGCATACCTCTCATAATGATGAACTGTGATATAATATGCATGTGTATGCCAGACTGAAGAAATAGCGTCTGAGAATGAGAGAAAGAGAGAGAAAGAGAGAGAGAGAGGGAGAGAGAGAGAGGGGAGAGAGAAAGAGAGAGAGAGAGAGAGAGAGAGAGAA